GAGAGAAGTAGGAGGAGGAGCAGGAGGAGGAGGAGCAGGAGGAGCAGGAGCAGGAGCAGGAGCAGGAGGAGGAGGAGGAGGGTTAGGATGAGGATGCGAGGAGCGCCTGTTGAGATTCTTGCAGACGATCTTGACTACTCTCGAGAGCTTGGAGCCTGCGAGGGAGTCCAGAACGAGGCAGGACGCTGGTATGAATCCTCTTTTGACGTTTTTCCTTCCTGCTCCTTCCTCGTCCATCGTCCTTCCTCCGCCCTCCTTCCTCTCGCATTCTCGTATCGTGCTTTAGGAGCAGGAGCTAACTCGATCAGCAGGCAGAGAGTCGATGCGCTCAGCTCGGATCGCCGAGAGGAGGAGGCGGCTAGAAAGGCACCAGCAGGAGGTGAATGTAGTTTAATAAACCAGCCAGCACAAGACAAGGGAAGGAGAACAAGCATCGAGATGGTGTGAGATTGCAGTAATGGAAGGAGGAAGGACAAGAGATGAAAGGAGGGAGGACGTGAAGGAGAATGCTGAAGGGGCGGGAGCGTGACAACCACGCAGGTACGAGGGCGAGCTAACGATTAGTACGTGTCCGATCGAGGTAGAAAGGAAGACAAGTCTCACACGCTATCCTTTATTATCTCGCTCACACATCAAGCTTCTACTCGCAAGCTGCTTAGTGTCCTCCACCGAACTTCTGCTTGGCGAGGGAGTAGAGAAGAGTACCGAGGATGGCAATGGTGGAGCCAATGATGCTCTCCCTGCTCACGGGGGTCTGCAGAGAACCAGTCAGTCAACAGCATCACAACCATGAGGAAATGCGCACAAGCAAGCAAGTGGATGGGGAGAGGAAAAAGGGGAAGACGAGGAAGAGAGCAGAGACAAGTACACGAGGTAGCAACAACAGCAAGAGCGAGGAAATCCAGATACTGCAAGCACACTCACGTTGAAGACGATGCAGGAAACGACGAGCACGACGACGCGCTTGAGGGTGTTGGCGACGGAGTGGGTGATGGGAGTGACCTTGCCGAGGCAGAGGAAGGAGACTTCGTTGTAGAGGTAGAAGGTGAGGCCAGAGAACACAACGTTCTTCAGCACGTCCTCCTTCTTCGATCCCTTCCTCATGGCGTTCTCCCACGACTCCATGGCCTTAGGTCCCTCCACAGCAAACACAATGGGGAGAGTCCACAAGAACGCGAGCATGTTGACGACACCGTACTGGTTGGCGGGGCCCATGGCCTTGACCCACGGCTGCTTCATGATGTCCTTGCCCTGAACTCCCTTGAGGGCAGCGCACTGGTTGGCGATCATGGCAGAGATCACGGAGAGCCAGGAGAACGAGAGCTCCTTCACCGAGGCAAGAGCAACACCTCCGATGATGGGGAGGAGAGCAGCGTACACGGGCCAGGCCTGGACCTTGCCAAGGAGGATAGCCTCGTTGGCGGCGGAGAAGACAGGCTCGCAGGCCTTGAGGATCTGCGCGAAGCTGACAGCAGCAGCTCCGAGGGAGATGACGGAGCCTCCGTGGGCACCAGCAGCCCACAGGCCGATGGGAGCCATCTGCTTCCAGTTCTCAGCAGTCATCTTGGGGGAGGTGCGGATGCCGAGGATCCAGAGGGGGATGACCCAGAGGATGCCGACGAAGAGCTGAGCGGAGGAGACGGTCCACACGAGTCCTCCCTTGGATCCTCCCAGGAGATTCATGGCCTTCTTGTTGTAGATGTTGTCTGCGGACCAACGGTCAACACCCACAGAACCCACCCGACTCGTGCTGCACCATCTTCATGCCCTCCTCACTCTCCTCCCACCCCCCTCCCAACATCTCTCTCATGGCGAAATCTCAGCCAAATCTACAAAACTCACAGAGACACATAACAAGCCATATGTTGGCAACCTAGGAAACAGCTATATGCCCCCCGACGCCCGCCCCCACAGCTTCCTCCACACATGATGATCAAACTTACAGTAGGTGTTGCCCCAGTACCAGAGAGCAAAGTAGATGGCGAGCTCAACAGTCTCGTTCCACATGTAGGACAGGGGGCCCTTTCCGGCTCCTCCACGCAAGTGCTCCACAGCACCGGACTGGGTTCCCTCGGAAACAGCCTTGGAGGGGCCGCGAAGGATAGCGCTCTCAGATGAGAGCGAGAGCTTCTGCATGGGGAGGGAGGAGCGCAAGCTGGATCCTGGGGTTTGCGCATGGAGTGCGCAGGCTGCTGGCAGCAGCGCCATCATCGCTACCCATCGCGCTGCCATCGTTCCTCGGTGTTGGGGACCCCACCCACCCTGTCCTCAATTGATACCCCGCACATGCCACCCCCAACAGCCACCCTCGAACTTTCCTTCCCAGTTTCTCCAATGACTACCCACCCTTTTCCGCCGTCCCCCTCTTTTACTCATCCCCACCCTACCCCCCATTGTAGGTCAAACCAACCCCCTCAGCTAAAAAAGAATCCTCCCACCCCCCTTTTATCCCTGATACTTGTACACAACCCCCTCATTTCTAGTCTTTCAGGATCACCCACCCCCTTTTACAATTCTCACCCATCTTGAATTGGCCCTACCCCACCGTCAATTGATGAAAAATTCTCCCTACCCCCACCTCCCCATCATACTTCAAACACCCCGTCTTGTCATAACACTCCATGTACTCCTACCCGTCCATTACGATTACCCACCCCTACAAGAACATATATAAGCGTTCAAATGGGTCCAAGATATCGCCCACCCCACCGATCAACATTTTCTCGTACCCAGGCATGACAGCACTGAAATCACCCCACCCCACTACTACCCATACCCAACCTCTGCGTTAGACTCTAGAATTTTTTTGGGCCGAGATAGTAACAAGCTCATCTTGTCATTCGATGCTCACAGATATCATAATTATGATATTGGATCATGAAGGGTATGGGCAACACTCAGCCATAAGGCAGTGGCATGGTTGGCTATTGTGCTCATGGACCCCTAAAAACGTGGCGTGGTTGTTTTGGAACCCGTCATGAATTTTTAGTGTACCCCTCATCAAATCTCCATGACCCCTTCACCCTACCCCTGGACTACACCCCCTTCTAAAGCTCCGATAGCATGGGGGATGAGGGGATCTCACGAAATATTTGAAAATATTTCATACCAACATCTATTTATTTCAAATTTCACAATTGGTTTCTGCAGAGTTGCATTGGGGATGTTTGGCGTAACAAAAGGGGGATTTTCCCGCATCACCTTCCTGCTCATGCTAATCTGCATAAATACCTCGAATTGTGTTTTGTAAATTCAATATTTATTCAACAATTGTGAAATTCTTATGGAAGTTAGACATGATCTTCAAAAATAATTTGTTCAACTCATGCTATAAATGGGTTTTAATAAAGGGGCGGATTCCCGTAGAGCAGCCACTGAAACTTTGAAATCATAATTCTCAGTAACCATCCGGATTTTTATTGTAGGTCTTATAATAGTTTATTGTCAGACGGGGATATTAATCCGGATGAGTCAGAAGTTCAAAATTTATTTGAGAGATCTAAGAGAGTACCGGTCAAGTTCAGGAGAGTACAAATGATGGGGTACAAAATATACATTGCATCGGGTGTATTTACTTTGAGATTTGATATGGACCGATGTCCGCTTCAACTATAGTACCCAATATTAGTACCAATAAATAGTTTTTGAGTGAATTCTGGTCGATATCTATTTGATAACAAATCTTTTATGTTTTTATTTTGTACCAATATTGTACGGCCAAAAGTCTTTGATCCCGGTACAACAAAAAGTACGAAATGGCGGAAACTAGCGGAGAATGCCTGTTTGGACGCGAATGTCGAATACAGGGAGCTCCATGCAACCCTGCGACTGGGACTGGACATAAGTGCCGGAAATGTGGTGGCAACTTTCATGCAGTATGTGCCAGTTTTCGAAGTGAGGATCCTGGATTTTGTGGTTGTCAATCGCCGCCTCCTCCCAGCGATGATGTGCAGTCAGCGATAGCAATTGACGAATCGGAAGGAGATGGCATGTCAGTGTCATCTTGCACGTCACAATTAGATGATGGGATGGAGGGACCAAGCTCGATGTTTCAAAATCCCACTGCTGCTGCAAGACCCAACAATGCACGACCAAAGAGAAAACGTTCTTCTACAGAAGCTGAGTCTGCTCTGTGGGACAACTTACGCGTACAAGACGAAGCAGCGCTCGAAGCATCAGTGGAAGCTATCCGCGAGAATACGATATCGAAGAAGAGCAGGAAGATGTATACCAGCTCCATGATACGTCTTTTGCAATGGCTCTATGTCAACAGAAAAGAAGTTCTCACCAAGGAGTTCAGGGAGCTCATGGAAAGACAGAATATCATGAACTTGCACTACGTTCCCGATAAAGATCTGCTGCATGATATCCTAACGCGTCGTGAAATCAAACCCATCGACTTTGAAAATAAGGAATCAACCGATCCAAAGTGTAGATTTACATCCACAGCTTTCATTACATGGCTTGAGC